CCCGCTCCCCACTAACTTGGGGGACACAAGGCCCGCTCTGCACCGCCTTGTGTCAGGACAATATTAAGACCAACCCAGGTGAACACCTCCTAGTTTCATTTATGGAGGTCTGATTTAATGGCTTTGGTCAGAGGGTGAAAATACAATTTGAAGGTAAGTTTCCAATTAGCAGAGATAAATGTACCTAGCTATTTGTTAAGAGATGAGGACCATCTGAATGGGAAATTCTGCTTCATCTGCTCGAGTTGCCCAGGTGGCAATGTAACATTTAAGGCCTCAGATTTAATCTTGCCCATGGAAAGATCCTGATATCTCTCCAATTCTTGTAGCAGGACTGATAAGGAGGTTTGTGGGCATGATGGAAGTTATAAAGAAGATAGGGTCCTTAACATGTGCTGTGACCTTATGGGTGAGCTTAGCAGTTTTAAGTCTAGTTATTGCGTTATTTGCTCTGATGGTGTGTTGGAACAGTTCTAACAAAAATATGAAAATTGAAGATTGGGCACATCTTTGACATGTCCCGTTGCTAACCAAGAAGGATGCAGAGATAGAGTCATTGACCCAGAGGGTGCCTGTAGTGTATGAATATAAAGCTCCGATCCATGTCATCATTTTGGTCCCCAAACTTACATGAGCCAGGGTAGCATTGATAAAATTCCAGCTGACCCCGTCAAATGCTTTTTCTGCATCTGCAGAGGGCAAAATGAAGGGGATGTTTTTCCCTTGTGCTAAGTTACTTAGTAACTTGATATTTTGATTGCACCCTACTGCTATTAAGCTATTGCTGTTATTTTTAAATTGACATAATAAAACAATGTTATAATTGCAGTTTTTTATATTTTGGACTCTTTATTCTAAAGAAAAATTTAATTTCATAAGCTTTAAGGGGGCGTGGTTGGGGGCAGGGCTGGGGGCAGGGTTGGGGACTGGACAGGGGTGGGGTTGGAGGCGGACCTGGGCAAGGGTGGGAGGGGCAACTGGTGGAGAGTAAGGTTTGTGCCTGGCTAGTAGGTCTAGACTCAAAATTTTAAGCCCTGCTCTAGATAACTTATATTAAAATGAAATTACCACTTTGGTAAATTTAGGTTGCTTTGAAAAATATTATAGTTAGGTTTAAAAAAAGTCCACCTAGTTCAACCAATACAAAAAAAAAGAAAACCAGTTCATCCAGAGAGGGCACAAAACATAAAATAAACCATAATCCTATTTTCAAATTGTTACCTTATGTAGTGCAATATATTAAACAATATTATGAACAGTAAAATAAGTCCCAATATTACATTATTATGCATTAGAATCACAATCCACAGTGCTGTTATGGTTATAGCTACCTCTCCAATTACTTCTTGGCGTTGATTTACTAAAACTGGAGCGAGCAAAATCTGGTGCAGCTGTGCATAGTAGCCAATCAGCTTCTAACGTCAGCTTGTTCAATTAGGCTTTGATAATAAAACCTGGAAGCAGATTGGTTTTTATGCAGAGCTGTACCAGATTTTGCACTCTCCACTTTTAGTAAATCAACCCCCTTCTGTCATTTCACCACTTCATGCCAATTATACTTAAAGTGACATGAACTCTCTCCCCCAGATGTGCTCTCACCTGGGATATATGACTGTACAATCAAATATGGTCACTAAGGCTTGTTCAGTTGGACTTCACATGTGCTTTTTAATACCTCCGTATGTTCCTTTACAAGTATTAACTTCGCTCAATAACTCTGCTCAGCCGCACATAGGGAAAGAGAAACCACCAAACATAGTGCTTTATCCTTTTAAACCACTTATTGCTCCTAAAATCTTCCAAACATATAATCACTTTTAACAGGCGCTGAAGCACACCAGACGTATTCAGCATGTACAATATATCCAACAGCAGTAATGATCAGTTTTCTTGAGTGTATAGTTACAACACTGCCCCATGTACAGAGCATTGTGACATCGTCAAGCCCCTTCCCTGAGCGTTTACACCACAGGGTCACGTGGCTTCATCACAGGGATAACCCTGATATCTATCATTATTCATTATAGCACAGATATACAAGAGTGTGTAAGGTGTGGGCGAATCACAATATGTATTATTTTGGCCATGGCAGCTCACAAGGTTAATATATTTTTTAATCATTATCCGATTTGCTCCAGCTTGAAAAAAAAAAATCCTTCCTGGTCCCCCAGGAAGCAATGTGATATTCCATGGATCAACAATCTCTGGTGGTACTACCTATAAATGTTAGTATCTAGTTATATTTTGTGCATTTAACCTCTTGGCATGCAAATGTGCGGCCTCCTGGTGTCTGGGCCTTGATGCCCGAGCGGCTGCACATTTGCGTGCAATTAAGAAAAACATATGTGCTGAGAGCGCGCACCCTGTGTCTCCCAGCACACATGTCCGGTACTCATGGAAAGGTCCCAATCTCCTCTTGCGATCGGGACCTTTGCCGATCATGTGACTGTCGTGATAGCGAATCACGATGGTCACATGACCTTAAAAACCTGAACCACCTCCTAGCTTCTGAAACCCTTAAAGGGCCGGGAAGCGCCGGCGCCAAGGGGTTAAGAATGTATCCAGCTCTTATATAGAGCAGGCCAGAACTTGTTCTTGGGGGAGTCTATTCCATATTTTTTAGCTCTTACTATGAAGAAGCCTTTCTGTATGTGCAGGAAAATCTCTTTTCCTCCAGATGTAAATATTTACGCTACGTTGGGCATTTGCTCTCATCAGAACTGCCTTTTTTTCTCCTAAAATTAGTTAATGAAAACGCAAAATCTGTTCAGAAGAAGGTACAAACTATATATTTGCAAATACCTGAGAACTTTCCCTTAAACTCTGTAAATCTGCACATATACAGTAGATGTGTTTAGGTCAATCAGAGGTGAATTGGATAGCATTTTCCCCAATTTTTCATAAAACATTAACCTTATAAAAGCCTGTGGATGAAAATTCACAGGAGTGCAATTGTGTTCCAATGGTGCTGGCACTGTACAATAAGTCATCCCATGGTGACTCATCTAATCGGATGGTTTTTTTTTCTTTTCTTTCTAGAAAGTCTCTAATATATTCAGGAAAATCTGAAAAGAAACCGTGAATTTCAGATAGATGGGAGATAGACGTGGTGTAACATACAGTTTAAGCCTCATTTGTCATCAAACTATGTGTAAATATCTCTACTACCACAGGTCATAAATTTTAGTAAGCAACATGCTTGACATTCATTCTAAAATAACTTGACCAGCTAATGTTTTTTTAAACCTGTGAACAACAATTCTAAGTGTCATTTTAAATGTCCTGCTGGCTTTTCAGATAAAGGTGCAGCTAAATAAAACTATATTGTCAACATTTCACATGTTGTCGGATATACCCACCAGAAAAAGCATCAGAAAAGTGCTTTAGTATATATATACTAACTGGCTCTTATGGGGTATATAAATATATAATATGTACAGTATGTATAATAGATACACCATCATCAGTCCCACCCCGCAAGCCAAAGTCCTAGGTGTCACTCTAGACTCAAATCTGTCCTTCCAACCCCATGTCCAATCGCTGGCAAACTCATGCAGGCTCCACCTCCGCAACATCTCCAAGATACGTACGTTCCTAACCCCAGACACTACTAAACAACTCATACACTCCCTTATTATCTCACGGCTCGACTACTGCAACTCCCTCCTCACCAGCCTACCTCATCACAGACTATCCCCGCTTCAGTCTATCCTGAACTCAGCGGCCAGACTCATCCACCTTACCAACCGCTCCGCATCTGCCACCCCACTCTGTCATTCCCTCCATTGGCTTCCGATTGCCCAATGCATTACATACAAATTACTAACACAGACATACAATGCCATTCATAGCGCTGCCCCGAACTACCTCACCGACCTGATACCCAAATACCACCCTACCCGTAATCTTCGCTCCTCACAAGACCTCCTACTTTCTAGCTCCCTGGTCTCCACCTCCCACGTCCGACTGCAGTACTTCTCCAGGACTTCCCCCATCCTCTGGCACTCACTACCCCAATCCATCAGACTGTCACCTACACTCCTCACCTTTAGGCGCACTCTGAAAACCCATCTCTTCAGGGAAGCCTACCCCACCCTCACCTAACAGACGATCTCCTCCACTCTTCCTACCACTCCATCCCCCACAGCCACTTCCTCCTGTACCACTATCCCCTCCCTCCTAGATTGTAAGCTTGAAAGAGCAGGGCCCTCAAACCCCTCGTGTATTGTATTGTTACTGTATTGTCTCATGTACTGTCCCCCACTATTTTGTACAGCGCTGAGCAAACCTTTTGGCGCTATATAAATACTGTATAATAATAATATACAGTATATGCCTGTTAAAATAGTTGTAAACCTCAGACATGAAATATGAACAAATTATATCGCTCTATATAGAGAGTGTACTTGTTTCAATCCAGAGCACTAAGGGGTTGAATCAGCTTTCAGTTTTTTTTGTCAAAATTTAACCACTTCAAATCTGGACACTTTTACCCCCTTCCTGTCCAGGGCCAATTTTCAGCTTTCAGCGCTATCACAGTTTGAATGACAATTGCGCGGTCATGCAACACTGTACCAATTTTTTAGCATTTTTTTGAGACAGATAAAGCTTTATTTTGGTGGTATTTATTCATCACTGAGATTTTTATTTTTTTTGCTATGTAAATAAAATTTTTCAAATAAATAATATTTCATCATAAATCTTGGCCAAAATGTATTCCATTATCTTTTTAGTAAAAGAAAATAGCCCAAATTAGTTTATAACCAAAAATTATAATTTTAAACATTTTTTTTACATTTTTATTTAATTTTTTTTATACTATTATTTATGTTTTTTTTTTTTTTTTTTTTTTTTTAACATACTGTCACCCTAGCAGTACAGTGTCACCATAGTGACACTGTACTACTTGTGGGGGGTGATGAAGATTTTTTTTCTTACACTGATTGCTTTTATACCCAAAAAAGCTGTAAGAGCAATCATTTCTCCTTCTCTCTGGCTACATTCTTGCAGCCATTGAGAACTACTGAGTGAGCTGTGATTGGTCAAAGCTTGTTACATGGTACAAGGCTGTTATGAATAGCCTTGTACCACGTGACCTCTGTGATCATTCAAAGATTTCACACGTAGTAAGCAATGATGTCAGAAGTGACATCTTGCTTACTACTCTGCATGTGATCACTGATTGGCCAATCAGTGATCACATGATCGGGACCTCGCGCAGAGGTCCCGTACAATGGTCTGTGTTCCACAGTGTCCGGAGGACACAGTGGGCACTGGATAGCGGTGCTGCGTGCTCCCAGGGAGCGCGCACAAGCAGGGGGTGGGGAGACCATTTATAAACGGCCACCGACCCTGCACTGTCACTGTCGGCCGTTTATATACAATGACCGGACGCGAGGTGGTTAATTGAACAAGCTGAAGTCAGAAGTTGATTGGCTTCCATGCACAGCTGCTCCGGATTTTGCACTCTCCAGTTTTAGTAAATCAACCCCTAAGTATCGTTTCTGTCTGATGCCTGTTTCCTCTGCTATCTGCATGAGGTGTCCTTTTATGAAACAGAGATCAGCGGTGATCCTGAGGATCATTGCTGATCTCTGATCATTTTTGGTTTAGGAAACAGAGATGATCAGTGGAGAACATGTTCTCCGCTGATCATCTCAGCACACAGACTGCCAGTGTATGAAGGAGCAATGTCAGCCCACTGACGATCTGTGTTCTCCCTCCAGATTCTCCAGCTCAGAGCTGGAGAATCGGAGGGACCGCAAATGAAGCAGCTGCAATTTACCTCTGCTTAGTAAACTGTGTTTGACTGATCTCTTACTGTAATCTTGCAAGATTATAGTAAAAGCAGCCATTTTCCAGCGTTGAAAGCGTTTGTAGATCGCTTCTCCCTTCATTCGGAGAAGTGATCTACACCGCTTCATAAAAAGGCATTCAGAGAAGAACGGTCTTCTCTGAGAATGCTGGAGAACTGAGCAGCGGTCATTTACTGCTGCATGATAAAAGGGCACCTTAGTCACTTCTGACAAAGTTTCCTGACATCAAGAGAATAAGACAGCAGCTAAAAGTGAGCGATTACCACAGATCATTTGGAAACTCGGGCACTGCCCGAGGGCTCGGGGTCAGTAGGGGGGCCCATGAGATGCCCCTGGTACCTTTTTCATAGGCTTTTTTTGAGTTTGGGCAAGGACACAGGGGCCCCATGATCCCCTATTGCCCAGGGCCCCAGGAGTTGTCAGTCCGCCCCTGGCTGTGAATTTCAGACCTAGGTCTTTTTGTAATGTCCTACCTGAATTAATCTGGCAATTTTTGTCTGTCCTTAAAAATTCAGTACGGAAAAGATGGGGACACAGAAAAAGCAGGGCATGAATTAGCCAGGGTTGACTATATAAAAAAATATAAATGAAATAAAAAAAATAGACTATATTGGGAATCAAACATTCATGGAAAAAATATAATAAAACGTAAGTCAGTGATTCTGATTTCGGTTTTGGCAGTGTTTAGGGTAGCAGAGAAGGCTTTGCTGGCCCTGACTGCCCACCACATATGGGACTACCTGCACAGGGATGCACTGAACACCTATGCATCCCTGTACAGACAAACACTTGGGTGTATTCTGTAGTATGTCTGTGTGAACTATGCCATAAAGAAAAAGTCCAGGAACCATTATTTTGCATTATTTACAAAGATAATTGTATTATATAAGATACACTTGCCTCTTTGCTGTCCTTATCTGGATACACAGTAAAAAATCTTTGCTCTTCTAGCTGTTTAATTCTGTTCACCTCCTAACACCTCTGGGCTCTATGCGTTGCTACGCGTTATTGATTATTTGTATTAAAGTGGTCCAATTCAGAGAAGTCTATTGGAATCACCCAAGGGTAACAATCACGTCTATCTCCCAAGTACTTCCTGGAGTTCTTAACTCTTTATTTATTAACTTGATGAATATGTCAGATAGTTTTACTTTAGAAGACCAAAGGCAGGAAAAAACACCAAAGGCCCATAAAGGCTTCATTTTTTAAAGATAAACCTATGTTTATCCCATAAATGTTTAAATTCACTTACTGTTGATTGACTCGCTACCTCTGCTGGAATTCTGCTTCTAGCATCCATTGTCCTTGAATAATAAATCAAAATTTTTATCATTACTCTTGAATTTCCCTCTTGCTAGTATGAAGTCATTAACCCTGGGTTCTTGACCTCAGGTTGACCATACTGCTCTTCTGAACCTTATGTGCATTTTTAACCAGATCCTGCCTGGTCTGTAGCAGATTGACGGCCGGTCAGGCCTTTTGTCCCTCTGGTTGGACGTCATTTGACATCCTCCTGATCACACAGCTCACGCGTGCCCCAGAACACAGAGCATCACCAATCAGGGTAAAGAGCCAATGACGTTGGCTCTTTACTATGTTATCAACTGTGTCTAATTACAGCTGATCACATGTAAACAAATGGCAATTATAGGCATTTCCTTTCCTCAGTGCTGTCACTGTCTGAGGAAAGGAAAGTTGATAACCAGCTTTCCTGTGACAGGGGACATTTCCACTTATAATTAGGGCACTGATAATCTGTGCAGCCCCATCAGTGCCAGTGTCCATTAATGCAGCAGATCAGTGCCCATCAGTGCCACCTATCAGTGCAGCCTCATCAGTGCAGCTTATCAGTACCACCTCATCAGTGCCCATTAGTGCAGCCTCATAAGTGCCCATCAATGCAGCCTATTAGTGGCCATTAATGCAGCCTATCAGTGCCCATCAGTGCATCCTCATCAGCGCACATCAGTGAAGAAGAAAACTTACTTATTTACAATTTTTATAGCATAAACTAACAAAAAGGTGGGGTTTTGAAAAAAATATTTTAGCCTTTTTTCATCTGTTTAGAAAAAAAATTAAAAACCCCAGTGGTGATTAAATACCACCAAATGAAAGCTCGATCTATCTCAAAAATAATAGTGTTGCATGACCACACAATTGTCATTCAAAATGCAACAGAGCTGAAAGCTGAAAATTAGCCTGGGCAGGAAGGGGTGAAAGTGCCCAGAATTGAAGTGGTTAACCAGTTGCCCTCCAGAAGACTTACTCCCCTTCCTGACCAGGCTATTTTTTGCGATACAGCGCTGCATTACTTTAACTGAAAATTGTGTGGTCATGCAATGCTGCACCCAAAAGAAATGTATGTCCTTTTTTCCCACAGATGGAGTCCAACAATTTTGATAAAAAAAGCTATATTTTTAACTTTTTGCTATAAAACATATCCAGTAAAAAAAATTTAAAAAATATAATTTCATTATAAATTTAGGCTAAAATGTATTCTGCTACATGTCTTTGCTGAAAAAAATCCCAATACATGTAAATGAATTGGTTTACGGGAAAATTATAGCGTCTACAAATGACAATATATATACTGGAATTTTTTACAAACATTTTTTTATACTAGTAATGGCGACAACCAACAACTTATAGCTGGACTGCGGCGTTCTGACACTGGGGGGGGGGGGGGGGGGGGGAGGCTGACTAACTGCCACTGACATCCCCACTGACACTAATACAGTGATTAGTGCTAATAAAAAGCACTGACACTGTACTAATGACACTGGGCATGAATGGGTTAACATCTGGGGCAATCAAAGGGTTAACTGTGTGCTGTTTAACTATTTTGTCTGTGTGTGCTTTACTGTGTAAGCACGCTGCTTTGTATTGCTCTGCTATGCAAAGCAATACAAAGCAGCATGTTGGTACTGACAGGGGAGAGATCTGTATAGTTTTACATATAGACCTCTCCTCTGTCAGTGTTCCTTGGCGATCGCCGGGCACCAGTGTGGAATCTATGGCCAGCTGTAGCCACCAATGGCGGCGCGGGAAGGGCGGTGCATGCCCCCTACCCAGAAATACAAAATCACATACAGTATATGTAAGTGATTTTGCACAGCCCTGCTGCCCTGAAGCAGTAGTTGTGCTGTAGGGCGTGTGGGAAGCAGTTAGTGCATGTAAATATTTCAGTAATTTTCCCCATTTACTATAATTCCTTTAAGCTGCACAAATCTGATTTTTATTTTACTAACACTACTTACTACTAAAAAGTTTTATCAATTGTATAAAAGGACCCCTATAGAGTTGTCTGAATGAAGGAAAAAAGTTCCATCTAAACCTCCTAACCTCAGGGTTCCTTTTACTCTTCTGGACAGAAGTCTAGAAGCGCCTGTGAAACCTCAATTTTTGTCTGGTGTTCTTTATATAGAATAGAGATAAACAGAGATAATAGCATACAGACTGGGAAAAAAATTGCAACTAACCTGTGTACATATAGGCCTCTAATCTGACAAACCCCCCATGGAAGCTGCTTCTATCCAACTTAAGTACAAATTAGTTCTAGGGCAGTCATATCATTTACATAACTTTAATGATGGACTAGTATGTCCCTGTCCTGGAGTAGTATACATCTTGTGAGTCAAATAACCAAAGCTTCTCTCATGGGATTCTCAGAAAGATGTTTAGCATGAATACAGATTCTCTTTAACATATGACTATAAGGGACTGATTATTCATTGATCTACCTAGTGTTTGTGAGTTGACAGGGATATTAGTAATGAAGCATTTAATTATTGTCTAAATTTAAAAAAAATGGAAGACAAGATTTCATGTGATAACTTATTCTGTATCAACAAGATGGCTAATAGTAAACTCCATTATCAGTGACTACGCAGCAAAGATTATTATAATTTATCTACCCTTTTGACCTCAATTACTTAATATACCAAATTTTATCTTATAAGCATATTATAAGCATTGGTTCCTTCTTACCTTATATGAGCTCAAACTGTCATCAGAAATGTGTATGCAGCACAAAAGACGTTGAAAATAAATCAAAAAGGACATAGGTATTTAAGAGAGAGGAAATACTAAAAAATGTGATCTTGATTAAAGATTGCAACATTTCCAAGTTTTTAAATTAAAAACAAAAATGCTTCATAACTGAGGTATGTAATTCCGAGTGGATTACAGTTTAATTCTTTAATATCTTTACTTTCTGTTGACACAATTTATTTATATTATATGCAATGATCGGTCAATATTAAGCCAAGATTTGTTTCCTATTTTCATTTTTAATTAATTT